CTTAATTGAAAGATTAAAAGGGTTAGAAGTGAACGGGATAGTGAATACGAAATAATTATGGGTGATTTCTATGTAAGCGTTGGCATCGTACACAAGTATACGACACCTTATGCACATCAATCTAATAGTGTTGCAAAATGTAAAAATTGACATTGAAAGATATGATAAATATGGTGTTTGATAAGTTCGGGCTTAGCCCAAAATGTTTGATAAGTGAGACTATTTGACAAGCAATTACCTTTTAAGTAAGATACCGTGCAAGAAGTTTGATAAGACTCATTACAAGTTGTGGAAAGGTATAGTAGGAGCCCTTCCTACCAATACTTGAGAGTGTATGAGTGTCTTACATACCAAATTGTTAGTGTCAACACGTAAGAAAATAAAAATATGTCATAAGACGGTGAACTATACTTTTATTGGCTATGCACATATTGTTTATCGGTTCTTGGTGCGAGCTCGAGCTTAGGCATAGAAAATGAGCTAGAATTGAAAAATCATTTGATCCAAATTTCCTAACTTACTTGCTAGAATATGACTATTATTTTAACATGTTTATTAAAAAATGAACAAGATTTTCTAACATGTTTGTTAGAAAATGAACCATGAACGTATGTATATGTTGTGACTTATACATAAAGTTTGAGTTATTTACTGTGTTACTGGTTGCACATAAAGTTTAAGTTATTTACAAAAATATCACCGTATTGTTTCAATGTCTCTCAGCTTTAAAGCCATTAGATCTTCTTAGATCGACGACTCTGATGGCTTCCTAATTCTCTCTTACGAGCAATGTTTTATTTGATCCAAGCATATATATAGGGTTATAGGGCAACCCACTTGGCCTACGGAGCCCGCTATTTCATTTCCCGATCTCAATAGTGTATTTGTCCACCATAAGTCCATAATGCACTTCCCGACCATAGTGTACTTATTGAGCACAACCTACTTCCCGGTCTCATGTACTAATAGACCTCCAATCTCATTAATTAGTAGACCTCCCGATCTCATTGATTAGTAGATCTTCCGGTCCCATTGATTAGTAGAAGTCCCGGTCTCCAAGTGTCCCACCACGTGTCAAACCTCTAAGGACACTTGGCAAGCATAGCTTCACCGCTCGACCTCTTTAGGACACGTGAAGGGCATACCGAACACCCAGCATGTGTACCCTCTTCCCTCTATATATATAGGACATTTATTGCACCTTTGTGGGGACTTTTGGGCTCATAATCTACATCACTCTACTCGGAGCCTCCCGAACTCATATGGTCGGGTCTTTAATTACTTTCTCAATCACACCAACCACCTCTATTAATCTTCCTGACCTCATGTGATCGGACATTTATTTAACCTCTCAACCATATTATTTCACCTATTATAGAGTTGCCTTTCATATTTACCCGACCCTAAACAAGTTACACCATCATATTAGATTCTAATGAGTACAAGGCTTTCAGTGTGAAGTGTAGACAAATACTAGGCATCGATCTAGTGGATTTAATCATCTTATCTAATCGTTGAAAAATAAAGAAAAATAAGGAAAAAAAAAAGTTACCGTCATTTCATAAATATAAAATCTTCGAAATTGATCATGCTCTTTTTCCCTTTATTTTCAATCCATTAATCATCTAGATAGACAATTTAGATTAGTCCACGATTCTCACTTTGTGGTGTATTTATGCATACTTAATAGTACAATCTGCACGATCGTAAGGGAACATGGCACACATTTGAATCTATATATATATATATATATATATATATATATATATATATATATATATATATATATATATATAAAAACTAATAGTCAACGTCAAATATTACACACTTAAAAAAAAAAATAATGAAAGTGTTGGGAACTCGAGATTACTTTGACTTTAACATCAAGAGTGACAACGTATAGTACAGAAACCCATGCATACCAATGGCCGCAAACCTACCGGCTACCACTAGCAATTTAATAAGCCGTTGGCGTAACGCACCGCCATGGAGAATACATTTTCTTTTCTTTTCTTTTGTGTTTTTTAATTTCAAATTTCTTGAGGATCCAATGTTACCCAACCTACATTCAATCCCTCCAATTCCATGGCTCTTTATTACTTATGGATTCTCAATATATTTTAATCATTTCATATGATTTCCTTTCATTAATTCATAATAATGAGATCCGATCCGTCTATCTATATATGATACGTTTATTTTATTCTTAATTTTTAAAAAATATATTAATATTTTTATTTTTTATATTTTATTTTCAACTTTTAGCCTTAACTTTTCAAACATTTCACTTTAAGCAAAACAACAGTTTTGATCCACATGAGCAAATACCAATTTTAATCAAACTTTTTTTTATCCGAAATCAAACTTTTTAAATATAGTAAATGAGCAAATACCAATTTTAATCCCACAAGTATTAGCAAAACAACAGTTTTGATCCACATGTTTAATTTCTACCAATTTTCATCCAAGACTATTGTTTTAGTGTCAAAATTTATCACGTTAGTCACCCTATCGTTTAAGACATGCCGAAATATGAATTATTAAGGGTATTTTTATCCGTTTCAAATTAAGATCCCAATTTGAGCATGAATAAAGGGATTTAAGCTCTAAGATCGATCACAATTTACAGTTCGCCTCCTCAAATTAAGGTAGGATGAGGATGAGAACTGTGAATTGGATCGATCTTAGGGCTTAAATCACTTTATTCATGCTCAAATTGGGATCTTAAGTTGAAAAAGACGAAATTACCCTTAAAATTTTAGATTTCGACATGTCTTAAACAGAGGGGTGACTGACCTGATGAATTTTAGCACTAAAACAATAGTCATGGATGAAAATTGGTACTAAAACAATAGTCGTGGATGAGAATTGATAGAAATTAAACATGTGAACCAAAACTGTCATTTTACTAATACTCGTAGGACCAAAATTGGTATTTACTCTGTAGTAAATTAAGATTTGACAAAAGTTTCGTAAAGTAAGGTTATTTTGGACTAAAAGTATAATATTTTTAAATGTCAAGAAATAAAAGTAAGACAAATAAAATTGATGATTAAAAGTGAAAATGTCATTACTCTAAAGTCTAAAAGTGAAATAAGTTTGTAGGTAAATGATACATATTACAAGCTAAGGCATGGGGGTGGGGATTAGGTTTTGATTTATTATTAAAAATCGATTGATTTTATATTTTATAAAACTGAATGGTTTTGTTTCGATTCGGTTCAATTAAAAATCGAATCGAACTAAAAAATCGAATGATTATATATATATATATATATATATATATATATATATATATATATATATATTTTATTTATACCTAAATACTTTTATATTTATAAATTTACCCAAATGTATATACTAAATCCCCAATTCGCTAACCAAAATTTTCACAATTGTTCTTTGTGAGTTTGTGACGTTGTCGAATGGCAAACACAAGTGAAGAAGTCGATTCGGTTTAGACTTATTTTAGATTGAAAATTTTGGAATATGCATTGTGGACTTGTTGTTTATATTTTCAAATTTAAATTATTAGTAAAAATAAATAATTAATTAATTATGTGCGCAAGAGAACTAGCTAGGGAACGTTTGAGTTCTCAAAACGAACCGGACCAAATCCAAGGCAAAATCGAACTATTTCAAACCGACAAAACCAAACCTAACTAAAAAGAAACTGAAAATCGAAACGCCCACCCCTAATAAGCCATATCAAATAATAATTAAAAAATTATGCAAATATATCTTTTTTCTATTTATAAATATATTGTGATTTTTTTATTATGTTGCATAATAATAAGTAATAAAGACAATCTTGTAACTTGAGATATTTAACAAAAACAAATAATGATGCCATATATAATTTTTTGTGGGTGTGTGCATTAGGTAAATCCTTCTCCTATTTTATTTTATTTTTTTCTTAAAACCATTCTCCTATTTTTTTTTTGAATGTTACTGATTCTATTATATTGTAGTATCTGTTCAAACATACTATTAATAGGTAAATCCTTATCCTATTTAATAGCATGCATATTCAATTTTTTATTTTTATAAATGGACAATTTAACAACTCTTATAGGTTGTTAAGCATTTACTTCAGACATCAATTTCATTAAAACAAGTACACTTTAGTTAATGAGCAAAAGCATTTATTACAGTGATGGTTGAACAATAATCCAAAAGTGATTATGCTCAAAAGCATTTATTGTATATCATCACACTTCAAATTTAAAAATTTACTTTTCAATAATCACACTTCAAACACTTAACATAGTGTTTTAAGAACATCCTCAATAGTGAAGAGTTTTGGTGTGATTTTTGAGGTGCCAAGTAAAAGAGATGCTGAGGAAAGAGAAGAAGAAAAAGAAAGCAAAAAATATAAAAATAAAAAGAGGTTTCTGACGCAAGAAAAAAAGAATAACCAATTATATAACTATAGTCAATCTAATCCCTCCTGAATCTAGTTCCTCAACTTTTTTATTTTCATTCAAAAATTAACAGACTAAATTAATTAAATTTACAACCGAAGGACTAAATATTTAACACAATAACTAATTGAGTGACCATATTGAATGAAATTGAAAATAAGAGACAAATTACACAATGGTGAATAATAATTGAAAAGATAAAAATAAAATTAGGATTATGCCATTCATTCAAATCAAAGGAATAGAATATTGCTTACAAGTCAGTACGTCATGTGCATCCCCTCTGTATCCCATTTTAAAATCTAATCATTAAAAGCTTTATATATATATATCAGTGGATTTTGGGACACTCAATACCACAAAATAATTCTCCAGTTGTTATACCATAGACCAGGTCCACCTAAAGTGGACTCGATCCTAAATTGTGTATTTTTAATATTAAAATTGTGAACATTTAAATATAAATAGAATACAGGGTTATCATAGATTGTGAATTTTTAAAAAGTAAATAGTGAATATTTAATATGTAAATTGTGTATTTTTAAACTCAGGTCCACAGAATAATTTGTCATAATTCTCACTTTCTTGTCTCATTCAGTTATAATTTTTTCAGCTTTATATTCCCCCATAATTGCTCATTCATTATTTTTCTTGAAATTAAACACCACTCCATATAGTGAAAAAGCTCCATATTTTTCTTTCTAGCCTAGTAGATTGATGGGAACTTGAGATTCAATTCCTCACAAAAACAAGAAAAAAGATGAAGCCCAGTTTCTTGGTTTGTTCCCTGTTCCTGCTTCTGCTAATCCCAGTTTCTTCTGCACAATTGTTATCCTCAGAGAAGAGGATCCTATTCCAGGTTCAGCAGCTTCTTGAATACCCCCAAGCTCTTCAAGGCTGGAATAACTGGACAAATTTCTGCTTTCTCCCACAAACCCCTTCTCTAGTGATCACCTGTTCTGGGAATCACATCACAGAACTTACAATTCTTGGAAACAAAGCCTCCCATCTTTCCCAGAATTTCTCTCTTGATTCATTCTTCACTCTTCTCACCAAGCTTTCCAGCTTGAAGAGATTGTCATTGGTGAATCTCGGGTTATGGGGTTCTTTGCCGGCTAAGATCACCAGGTTTGGCGGGCTCGAGGCGTTAAACCTCAGCTCGAACCAAATCCGTGGCGGCATTCCCCAATCCATAGCCAAGTTCAAGAACCTGAAAAGCCTGGTTTTGAGTCATAACTTGTTGAATGGGAGTATCCCGGATCTGAAGGGGGTATCGGGGCTCGAAGAGGTTGATTTGAGTGGCAACAACTTAGGACCAAGTTTCCCCTCCTTGGGAAACAACATTGTTAAACTTGTCCTAGCCAACAATTCCCTGAGATCCCAGGTTCCACAGGAGCTGAGAAAGCTGAATCTTTTGACAACATTGGATCTCTCTTCCAATAAACTTGTGGGTCCAATCCCTTCCTTCTCGTTTTCATTGCCATCCTTGGAGTACATCAATCTTGCTAGGAATCAGTTGAGTGGAGCACTTCCAGCTAGTGTTTCTTGCAGTAAAGGCCTGAGCTTTGTGGACATTTCCAACAACCTTTTAATGGGGAAGTTGCCAGTTTGCCTAGGATCGAACTCGAGGAATCGGACGGTTATTAGTGTTTGGAATTGTCTGGCTAATACAGGCTCAAAGTACCAGCACCAGCATTCATTCTGTGCAAAGCAGGCAATAGCTGTGAATCCAAATCCAAGAACTAAGAGCAAGAAGGAAGAGTCTAATACCATCAAGCTTGGGATAGTTCTTGGTGTGATTGGGGGCATTGTGGCAGTTGTTGGTGGCATTGGGTTGTTGGTTTTAGTAATTTACAGGAAAGTGTCAAGGAGAAGAGATGAGAAGTACAAGTGTGAGAGTTTTGTTTTTGACAAGAATCACCCACAAATGACTGATGGAGGTAATCATTTTGTTAGAATAAGTGCTTCCTTATATCACCAATCACATTTTCGAGAGGCAGGGTACTGGTCTACTAGACCTGGTCCTTCGTCGGCCTCTACCAAACAATCCCCCTAGTCATTTGGTGCTAGACTTGGCACTCTGCAGTTGCGCTTCCTTATACTACCAACTATGTTTTCGAGAGGCAGGGTGTTGTACTTAGACCCTTCACCGGCCTCCGCCAAACAATCTCCCTAGCCATTTGGTGCTAGACTTGACACTGTGCAGTTGCACTTCCTTATACTGCCAACTGCATTTTCGAGAAGCAGGGTGATGTACTTAGTCCTTCACCGGCCTCCGCCCAACAATCCAGTAGCCATTTGGTGCTGGATTTGGCACTTGCCAGCGTTAACTATACAGTTTTTAGGCTCTGATATCATTTGTTAACATAGCGCTTATCACTAAGCCAAAAGTTATAGCTCATAGCGATGACACAATTTTATTTCCTTATACCGCCAACTACATTTTCGAGAGGCAGGGTGTTGGACTTAGCCCTTCACCGACCTCTGCCCAACACTTACAGTGCAACTAATTAACATTCACACTCATTATATACATATGGTTTGATCAAGATGTTGTGTAGCAATGCATTTTGTAAAATTGAACTGAGCAGGGCATGGCAGAAGGCCAATGAGGATGGTATCATTAGGACTGCCACCTTACAATGTGTTCACACTGGAGGAAATGGAGGATGCAACCAGCCAGTTTGATCCATCAAATCTAGTTGGAGAAGGATCACAGGGTCAGGTACTTTCATTTCACTATTTAATCAGATGATTAAACAAGGTTACACTGTTTGGATTGTACAATGTCCTTCAATTTATACATTTTTCTTTAGTGTCATATGATAGATCTCAGCGCTGCACTATGCTTACTTCACTCATCTTGTGACTGTTGTAAGTAAAACACGTTTAACCGCAGAGTTCTTTGACTATCTGATTGTCATATTCTATTTAAAATCAATTGGTAATAAGTAGGTGAACATTAACCATTTAACTACATCCCTCCATAGTAAGCCACAACGTCACATCTTGAATCGAACAAGGGCTGAATTGTATGTGGGTGGGGACATTCTTGCCATAAATTTGGGGGTGTTTGAAGTAGTTGGGGGTGTTTATGTGCAGCTGTATAGAGGAAAGCTTAGAGATGGGAGTGTGGTCCTAGTGAACTGCCAGAAGTTAAAGCAGAAGTATTCCAATCAAATTCTGCAGCAACACATGGAGACAATATCAAAGCTGAGGCATAGGCATTTGATGAGTGTTCTTGGACACTGCATTGTTACATATCAAGACAACAACACACCTACCACTGTATTTATTGTGCTTGAAAATATCGCCACTGGATCACTCAAGGACCACCTCACTGGTAAACGCCTAACCTGATAGTTAAATTGCGCATTTATGTTTGTATATGCTCAACGCTTGAACACGTCCCCTCACGTGTCCGAGCCAGTTACTTTTTGCGGGCTCCATGCAGCACGTGAACCATAGTCTCTTTTTATTGGGTGATGCAGAGATTCGAATCCATGACCATTGACATGGGGTTGGTTTTGATACCATATTGAAACATGTGATCCATTTCAACTAAAAGCTTAAGCTGATAGCTGAATTGCACATTTATGTTTATATATTATATGCTGAACTATTTTTTTTTGTTTTTTGGGAGATAGATTGGAGAAAAAGGGATGTTCTGAAATGGCCTCAGAGAATGGGGATGGCAATGGGGATTGCAAAGGGAATCCAGTATTTGCATACAGGAGGGGTTACTGGGAACACCTTAAAACTTGAGAATGTGTTGTTAGATGAGACACTCACTCCTAGAATTACAAACTATAACATATCTCTGCCATCCAAGGTACTCATCCTTAAACAAATTACCTAGTACATTGGAAGAGACAAATTTATAGTCTTAGCCCTTAAAATTTGATTTTTTTTTTTTTTTTTTTTTTTGACATTCACAGATTGTTTCTGATAGTTCTCTCCATGCACAAGATCATCATATCAGGTACTTCTGCCCCTCTAACTTTTTTCTTTAAATTTCTTGAGATATTATTTACTCATCAAAACCACAAATTCAGTGCAAAGAGTGGAGAACAAGATGATATTTATCAGCTAGGAGTCATTTTGATTGAAATAGTAATTGGTAGACAAATCACTTCTCAAGCAGAAGCAGAAGACCTTAAACTCCAGGTACACATATCGCTAACTAGATTCAACCCCGGTTAGGGCTTTATTTCCTTATACTGCCATCACATTTTCGAGAGACGGGCTACTGGGCTTGACCCTTTACTGGCCTCCACCCAACAATCCCCTTACCCACCCCTATTAGGGCTTTATTTCCTTATACTGCCATCACATTTTCGAGAGACAGGGTGTTGGGCTTGGCCCTTTACCGGCCTCCGCCCAACAATCTCCCTACCCACCAATTGCTTGACTTGACCCTTCACCGACTTCTGCCCGACAACCCCTACCCACCAAAGAAAGGCATGAAAGGAAGCTAAAAAGGCATTCTTTTTTTTTTTTTTTGCTGTCGTAATAACAGATAGAGACTTGCTTAGCAGAGTCACCGGGAAAGCTACGTGACCTAACAGATCCTTGTATCCGAGCAACATTTGCGTATGAATCACTTAAAACAACTGTCCAGATCGCGCTAAACTGCCTTTGCGTAGAGCCAAGCATGCGCCCCTCGATCGAGGATGTTCTGTGGCACCTGCAATACTCAATTCAGGTTCAAGAAGGATGGGGTACCAGTGGAAACCTCAGTGGGAAGCTGAGTGGAAACCTTAGTGGGAAACTCAGTGGAAACCTTAAGCTTAGTGGGAATGTTGGTACTAAGCTTTAGTATTTTTCAAACATTGTATTCTGCTAAGTGTTCTGACTGTGCATGGGTTCTTTGTATCAAAGTTCAGTAGCTAGCTGAATAAGTGTGTTGAAATGCAGCCCCACAAAATGATATGCTTCAGACTCAAAATGATTTGTGTTTATTGTTTAAGTTGATAGGATGTACTGTAATAAATAGTTGTATGAATTTATTTTGATGATTTGATAGTTATATATATATAAAAAACTATTCCAAAAGCCATTTACCAAACAAGATTCACAAAAGTGTGTCACATACCCAAAATATTTCACCGAGCTAAGTAATAGCATTAAAGGTAAATACAGATAGAAGTTGTGTTCATATTCACCAGCTACCTCACAAGTCACAGTTTAGCAGTTAAAGAACTACCTTCGCCATTCAAAATCAGCACCTGATCTGGGATTAGTAGCATTGTTTGCATAGTTTGCATCTTCAGGACCAACGGAACTTACGAAGGTGTGCCAACCTAAGAGGTATGGCAACACAAACTGCAGAAGAACACACAAAAGTACGTGTAAGTAGCCATGCCCGGGGAAATAAGTGGTAGAGACATTAAAGCAGAGAAAATGGCACTAAAAGGCAGAGAAGAATTCCCGATAATAATCAAATAAAGATCAGCACCAATACAGAAAGGTCACGAGTTCCAATCCCAGCCCTCTTAGTTTGAGCCGGCCAGCTATGGACAACCTAAGTTGGTTTACTTCCTTGTGGTCCTTTACCAACTAGGATCACAAGGTGGGGTTTACCCATTACACACTCTCGGGTAGTGGCTGTGGGTTTCCCTCGTCACCCCAAAAAAGAGTAAGAAAGAGCAGTATAAGATATATCTTACATTGAAAGCAGAGACAAGAACGGCAAATTCAGCCTTTGAAACAGGTATGTAGATGTTCTCGTCAACATTTATAAGCTTGTTTTGCACACCTTCAATCCATTGCCATTGCAGGAGAAACAAAACCATTTCAGATTCTAAGCAAGAGCAATATAATTTATACAACCAAAGGTTTTGGAGAAGTGAGGATTACTGAGATTAAAGAAGTGGCCAGATCCATCAGGTAGGGGTTCTATCTTCAACACCTTCCTGACTTTTCCTTCATCACTGCAAACAACCATATATTTGAAACATTTGTATATTCGATAGAAAAATTAAGGAGAGAGAGAGAAATTAATAAAAACTTTGATCCGTCCACTATGCATAAATCACTAACTTGCATATTTAGCTGCATAGCAATTACAAGGCAAGAACTTTTATGCACTTGGCATATTCTTCTATTTCCACAATCAGCCAACAATTTGATGAAATGGACAATAAGTGATTACTGAGTATACTATGCCTTGTGCCATTAGGTATATATGTTTTCCGTACCTTTTTCCTTTGTTAGGATCATGAAAAAATTCACACGAGTCTTTTGCCCCAAGGCTAATCAAAGATCCCAATTCAGTAACTGACAATGAGAATACCTGAAGACATATAAAGCAAAATAAACTTAATTGCAAATCAAGCCATAGATAGTACATCTTTTGTCCAACTTAATAACACACTTAGACTATTTCTCCTAAAATTTGTACCACAGCTAAGCAATAATAGATATTGAGCGGTGATCACCTGCTTTCGACCCCAATCATACTGACGAACACCAGCTGCAGGAGCAAACTGAAGTAACACAAAACCCTCTTTCGATAGTTTGAATGCCCCCGACTGTTATCCATCAAACAAACTGAACAAATTATCGAATAACCATGATATGATCAAATTTTAACTACAAGAGTAGAGCTGGAAAGCATACATCTAAGGGTGAGAACTCTGGAGCACAAGGCACCACTGTGAGCGCAGCCTTCCCTTTATAGATTGAGTATCCAATAAAAACCTTAGGTGGTAATGTTCCTGCTTCGCATAAAGGATTGTTAAGTGTAAAATGAAATAAAGGCCCTCAAGGAATTGCTCAAACATTTCTTTTTCTTGTTTGGAAAAATAATATAAAGCCACAACCTGAGTCATTGTTGCAAAGAGGAACCACAAGAAGTTAAAAATTCGTCCACAATTCCCTCAACAGCTCAACATGAATTTAACTGGAGCCTGGAGATGCTTGATCATATACCCTAATTCATTAACCTCAAATTTGCTTATCACTACAATAAAGCCTCAATTGAAGACATAAAGAGGGCCTTTCTTATGCCCTCAATTTTGTTCCCATAATAAATTCGGAAATTATCAGTTTTAGTGCTGGAGAATAAAAAATCTGCAGAACATTTAACAAACATGCATATATTGAATTTAACCTAAAATATTAACCCACAAGCTTCCAAAATCCTCAGCTTACTAAAACTATGGATAATGTATTAGCAGTTCAGCTCAATGAATTTACTTATTCTTTCTTCAATTATTATTATTTTTTTTAAAAAAAAAGTAAAGAAATTTTTAAAAATGCCAAGCCCATTAACTATAAACCTATGGAGTATGGAGTACCAATAAAATTAAAATAAAATAAAAATAAAAAGAGTAGAACTTAAAATTACTGTGGATACCTGGCTGTGAAGAAAAGGATGAGTTATTGGGGGAAGCCCATTGATTTTGTTGTTGATGAGGTTCAAAGTAGTCGGAATGGCGGCATTCCAAGGAAAGCTTTCTCCATTGCAGGGGCTTTTGGGCGGGGAGAGAAGAGGATTTGAAGAGAGTGGAAAGGGAAGAGCGAGAAGACAGGGATTGAAAAGGGTGAGAGAATAGTGGGGTTTGGGTGTGAAGCCCTCTGGGTGAAGATGAAGAAGAGAGACAAGGGTTTAACATTGTTCCCATGGGGTTTTTCGCAGGAAGCTTTCAGCAACTTTTGGTGTCAACTGCGAGCGTTTAAAATGAAATGAGTGAATGACTGAAAATGTGAAATGTCTGTCTTATATTCACACTAGTTCTTTTACGTGCTTTGTGCGAATGATTTTAAAATATATGAATGCAATATTATTATATCGGAGATATTTAGGTATATAAATATTGAATTTGATTAATATTTATTATATTTGTATAAAATACTTGGTAAATAAATATATAAAACATATTTTGTATTATAACTTTAATATTTAATTACGAGATAATGTAAAATATAGTGAATATAATAAATTAATAAATTTAAAGGTAATGAATCTTTGAATTGTAGAAAATAAAGATAATATAACGATCCAGCAATGGTCTTCCAACTATTATAATTTTTTAAAATTAATCCCCAACTTTTAATTTGAACATTATAGGTCCCTTGACTTTTAAGATCTTTCCAATAGATGCCCTTTCGTCAATATACGGTTAATTGGAAGGGATCCTTTGTATTATTCTCCATATTTCTAGCATTGAAGAATCAAGCAGAGCAAGAAGCGGGGGAGACAAAGAAGTAGCTTGCTGCCATATCTTCAAAACTGGAAGAATCCGAGAAGCGGTTGTTGAAACGAGCAGTTGCTGAGGAGGTTTATGTGACTGAACCTCAGAATTCCCCCGAGGAACGGGTTAAGGTGGTGGAATGTGAGCTTGAGGTGACTAGCTCGAGTGCACTAGTTTTCGCCTTGAATGAGATAAAGGAACTGAAATCCCAGCTTGAAAACATAGCGGAATGTGAGGCTACCCAAACCAAGAACGCGGGACTAGCACAAGTTGATCCGAATAACTTGAAGGAAAATCTGACCGATTCTCTATTGCTCGTGGAGGACATGAAAATCCAACTAAGGGATTGCAAGGAGGCGGAAGTTCGAGCGCAAGTGCTTGTTAATGAAACTCTACTACGTACAACTCGAAACCGCCAAAAGAACTATGGAAGCCCTTAGCCCTCAGATCAGACGAGGTCAAAACCATGGAGTTGTACAATGCTATTACTATGGAGTTAGACCAATCGAGGACAGATGTCAATCTGCTCGAGGAGCTCGTTCGCCAACTCCAGGCTGATGGTACTAAAGTGAGAATAGCATATGCCATCCTCATCACCTCCTACCTAGCTAGCTTGTCTTATGTTGTTTTGGTTCAAGAATTGAATCCCTTGTTTAATTTGCAGGCAGTTCCTTCTGATGAGCTATGGAAAGGAGAAAATGGGCCTCCCAGGGAAGCCAAATGGTGGTATTCCACCTTCCACACTGTCACTGCCATGGTTGGTGCTGGTGTTCTTAGCCTGCCTTATGCCATGGCTTACTTAGGCTGGTAACTTCAATACTATTTTGATTTATAAAATATACCATATCAACTGTTTTTGTTAGGATCAACGTGCTTAATTACCACTACGTCAAAAGTTATAGCTAGTACTGAATGCGTAACGACTTTCATAATAAAACATATTTTTAACAATGTGGCCTTGAGAAGTTAATACCAAAATTTTTTGCAGGTTTATGCAATGCCAGTGTTTGATATGTTGGAGAGAACAATGGTGAAGAGATTGAACATTCCTCCGGGATTAGTGCTGAGGCTCGTCGTTCGTTCTGCTTACGTTGGTGAGACTTCTGTATTTAACTTATATTATCAATTTTCTTGCTTCACTGATATAAATTTTCAAAATAAGAAAACAAATTTAAAAGCTAGCCTGGTATATAGGGCAAAATTTTGTTGCCTTAAGTTAGGGTTGACTGGTAGGTTTTGATACACTTTGACACCCTTAACTTTATCATCAAGATTTTATATAATTTATATTTGTTATATATTATTGGCTCTCTTGATTTATAGAGTTAATTATTATTTAGTAAAAGCTCTAAACTTGAATAATGTGCAGCCTTCACTTTGTTTGTTGGTGTAACTTTTCCTTTCTTTGGAGATCTTCTTGGCTTCTTTGGTGGATTTGGCTTTGCTCCCACTTCTTACTTTGTAAGTCCAACTTCCCAAATCCTTCAAATTTAATATTTTATTTTATACATAAAATATAATTTTATTGAATAATGCTATTTTTTCCTTTAAATACATTAAATATATTATTTAAATAATAATCTCATTGAATAAGATTCACCCAAAAGAAAAAAAGAAAAAAAAACACTAATAATAAAACAACTTAGAAACTTAGAAAGAAAAAAAAAACTCAAAATTTTTTTTTTTAAAATCTTTTATTTTTGTTGACAAATGTTGCAGCTTCCTAGCATAATTTGGCTAAAGATCATGAAACCAAAGAGATTGAGCATTTCATGGTGCATAAATTGGGTAAGTTCAAGTTCTTAATCTTCATTTAATACCACAATTGAAAATACTACATTTAGTCACTCAATTATGACGATTTAATTTTATTATTTTTTTTGAAAAAAAAAAAAGCTAATTCTGAAACGTTTACAATAAAGATCAATGGAATGCTCAAACATTTCTTACAATCTGACAAGAATTAAAAGTGGCTAATTTTTTTTCAAGAACTGAATTTGTCACCAATATGCCACTTATTAAAGTGATTGTTTTGGTAAATTCATCACTTTAATAATAACTAAGAGACTAGATTTCCTTTCAAAAAACTAAGAGACTAGATTTGCACTGCAACTAACTGATGGACTAAATTTATACAACAATCATAATTAAGTGATTAAAATGACATTATTATTATTATTATTATTATTATTATTATTATTATTATTATTATTAAGGTACCGATTAGTACCGTATATAATCAAAAGTGAATGCAAAAAGTTTTAGAGTTTGTACATATTAACAACAATCACCATTACTTTCCAATTTTCATTGATCCAACACTACACTGCCCAAAAACCAATTTCAGACCCAAAAGAAACATCCAAGCCCAAAAAATTCACTGTAATAATAAAACAAATCCCTTGTAAAACTTGTGAATGAGTAAACTATCCATCCTTCTAAGATGACTAAGAATACGAACTTGTAACCACAAGGTCACATGTTCGAATCTCAGCCCTCTTGATTTGAGTCAGTCAGCTATGGACAATCTAGATTGATTTATCTTTTTATGGTCATTTATTTACCCAATACATCGGATAGTGACTAAGAGTTTTTCTTGTCATCTCAAAAAATAATTAAATAAGTGTAAGTCTTTGTTAATAAATTGTGCATATTGTATTGTTAGTGATTGAATAATGTTGACAAATATTTTGGATGAATTAATTGGACAGGCATGTATAGTGATTGGAGTGTTCATGATGGTGGCATCAACAGTTGGTGGATTGAGGAATATAGTTGCTGATTCTTCCACCTATGAATTTTATTCATGAACATATATATAATATAAGATGCTTAAATTCATGTTATTTTTGAAAGAATAACATGAATTTAAGCATCTTATAATAATCAAATTAATAGTAATTCAGTTAAATGTCACTTTTGAACTACATACAAAAGTTGATGTTAGTTTATAAATCACTGTTTTAAGATCATTATATGTACATGTATTTTCATTACTAGACTTGATCATTTGAGTATTTTTTTTTTTTTCAAGTCGTTTGCTAGTTTTTATATTAGTACTTTGGTTCACTTTTTCAATATTCAATAATTATATTTAATCTTGATTATATTAATTTCAAGTCATAGGCCTAAGAATTGAACCCATAGTCAACCCTAACAATAGTTATTGCGTGGACCTGGTCTACATAGCTACGTGGACCAAGATCCAAAAATAACGTTGTTTTGTGTATTAAAAAAAAATCACGCGACCTGTTGCAACATACATTTTTATAATTCATAATGTATATTATTTTAAATTATTCTAACTCATAAAGTACATTATTCTAACACATAATGTATATTATTCTAACTCATAAAATTCATTGACATCGTTTTGGACTGTATTTGCCGAATCCTAGGCTTCTCAGTCATGGTGGATTTACCCCTTTTCTTTTTACATTTTAGACCAAGATCTTTAATTTTACAGAATAACCCCAGATGGTTTTTTTTTTATTTTTTATTTTTTTTAAAGGTTGCAAATTATTAGATTTTTTTTCTTTTTCTTTTTTCTTTATACAGTAAAACATAGAATCTTCAAATTATATAATACTTATAATTGACTGATTTATACATACATATATGACAAGGACATGAGAGGGGGAGATCACTAAGGGAGAATTTATGTTTGCATCTTTTGAAGTTTAGAATAGTAATTGATGGATATAATACGATCGGAACAAGACCCGGGGCCTCGGCTTCATGGGCCTCGACCATTGGGCCTCGGCCCTTGGAGATTTCGGCCAGCAGCCCACCGACCCGGCTTGGAGAGGTCGTCCGCCGACCCGGACCCAGTCAAGGAGGCCCGGTCAACACGGATCCAACCACCCCCCGCCTTAGGGGGTGGCGGTTAGGGGTGGGGGTTGTATAAAAACCCCCCACCTTGTCTCGTTAAGACATGATATGTTTTACTTACACACTTTGTCCTGAAATACTATTGTAATAGCCAATTCTATGGCATTTAATACAATTTACGGTCTCACGGCCTTTACGACGTCGTTTCGTTCATTTACTTATTATTCATATTCTTATCCGGATTTAATGATTCGGGCACACCCCCGGGTTAATTAAATCCATCATTGGTGTTCTTGTCCTTCCGACCTCTCCCTTCCTCCTGTTCCATGGGTGGTTAACTTGGATCAGGAATGGTTAAATTTGAAAGTCGAAGGACCACAGATGGTCAATTTGAAAGTTTAGGACTAAACGTGGCAAAACCACTATACTCGGAGGACCTTAAATGGTATTAACTCAGCAAAAAATGAACATAACATCCAAGTCTAGCAAAAAGGAACAAAACACCAAGTCTAGCAAATACCAAGTCTAGTCCACGAATCCTAAGACATAAGGAGGATGACATACGAGATGACCTAAATCTACCTGTTCAGGTCGGGCGCTGAGATGGAAGCCTCAAAGGCAGCGAAGTCCACGCCAAAGGAACCTATGCTCTGTAAAGGGGTAGGGGAGACCTGCCCGGCACTCATCTCCTGATCCCCACCCGAGAAGAGCTCGTCCAAGGTCCTCAGATCGACGGCTCCAGCAGGAGCGGCGACATCAGCTGGCCTACTTGGTCGGGGGAGACGAGGAAGCAATCCTCTCTCCTCAGGGTCAAAAGTCGAGTCCTGCTGCTCCAGGATAGCATAAAGGTCATGCTGCATCGTGTATAGCCCCACGTCATAGCCTGTCAGTCCCTCCTCCTCCAGGCGGCTCCTCCCCTCCTCGGACGCTAGCCACTCATCAATGAGCTCCTGCCGGTGAGCACGAGCATAAGCCATAGCATCCTCCGCGAACTGGGGAGACCTCCGGTAATCGGGGACGGCACGGCCGAGCTCCTCTCTCAATGCCTGGACGGCACGCCGACGATCGTCCTCCTCTCGCTCCAGCGAACGAGTAAGATCAGCAACCTGTCCTTGGAGGGCCTCGTGGGTCCCAAGGAGGGAGGTACAGTGAAGAACCATCTGTCAATAGAAGAACACATTTAGCGAAAACCAAGTATAAAATGCGCCCACCTGCCGGAGGCCAAGCACAAGGTATGCCCACCTCCCGGGGGCGAGAACATAAAGTGTGCCTACCTCCCGAGGTCGAGCACAAAGTGTGCCCACCTCCCGGAGGAGAGAACATAAAGTACGTCCCTGCTCTCGGAGGTAGATATGGTGCAACTAAAGCATGAAAGATAGAGAATACCTCAAGAAGTCGTGTATAGAAGCCACCCAAATCAGAAGATGCAGGTCCATGAGAAGCGACCAAACCGCGAAGAAGCTCCCGGGGCTGGACGGGGGACCCACGCACTGGAGCCAAGTCCGGGCGAGGCGGAGCAGTAAGCGCGCCCTGTGGCGGAGCAAGCGAGGCCGGGACCCTAGAGGGGGCAGCGACAGTAGTAGCGCGGGTACGTGCATCTGTGGTAATGACCCGGGAGGTACCCGCCTCATCTTCCCTCGCAGTCTTCTGTCGTTTGGCTATACGGAATCTTTCCACGAGATCCGCCATGAGGAGGGGATTACCTGACAACAACAAGCGAGATCAAGGTCAAAACGAGGAGGAGTGTCGTGGACGGTGCAAGCAAACAAGAAAAAGGTGTCAAAAACCAACCTCTAGGCATGGCAATGGTGAGCTCAAGTTCATCATCGAGTATGAGCTCGGGCGTACGGGACGGCTCGGCATCATTTGAGCCGAGGGACCCGGCTCGACCCCGCGGCAAGAACTCAAACGCCCTGTCGCCCGAACTCTCACTCGAGGCGGGCGTATCCAGAAGAAGGGGCTCGGGCTCGCCCTCTGGAGGCCCCGGCAGGCTGGGAAGAAGCGGGGTGCCTTGTGTGAACCCCAAACCTGCTAAGCTCTCCTCACTCACCATGGGCGCTATGTATATGGGCAGGACACCACGCCGGAAAACGCGCACGTCCTCCAACAAGGTAGCTCCCTTCCGAGGTGTGACGTGTTTCCGAAATCGAGGGCTCCATGCAGACACGAAAGGGAGTTCGGGGCCAACGGCAATAAACACGAACTTGGGTTTCCACCCGTGGTTTGAGGAGTTGAGATCCTGAAAAGTTTTCATATGGGAGCGAGCCGAGAAGGACACCCAACCCTTGCTCGAGCGGCCCGTGGAGCCCACGGCTTGAAAAAGGTAGTTGAAGAGATCGAGGTAAGGCTCCACACGTACCTCCCGACACCTGAGAAGAAAGGCCAGAACCATGCAGTGGGAGTTCGGGACTAGTTGGCCCGGAGCAATTTCATAATGGTTGAGCAGAGACAGCACGAAGGGGTGAATCGGAAAACGGAACCCGTATGACAAGGAGAGGACGTGGATACCAAAGAAGTTGACCCCTGGCGGATTGGTCACATTGTCATTCGGAGCAGGCGCCACCACCTCAACGCCCGGCCCCATGGTGTCTGTAGCCCTAGTTAGATGATGAGCCTGGAGACGCGACAAGGTGGAACGGGCAACACGCGGGTCGAGGTTGGTATACTCAACCTCGGCCAGTCTCGTGACCCGGGCAGGGAGGTCGGCCGCGGAACCCCGAGAGGGGTTGGGGACCTCAGTAACAGTGGGGAGCACTTTACTAGGAGAATGGGGGTTGTCCATCTCGTTCTCGGACACCAAGACCGAAACAAATGATCATACACCACCCAAACCTACGAAACAAAAGGAGAGGGATAAGGAAGGGGCACGCACGCACTCTCGAAAAAAAAAAAAGGTGTTTACTATAGCGCAAAAGGGGCAAAGATCGGGCAACGGACCCGAGGCGGAGGCCGACCGGGTCTAGGCCCGACCTCCGTGGTCGGCCAGACCTCGGCTCGGCCCTGGAGGTCGGCCAAGCTACCAGACGACCTCGGGGGTCGGCCGGACCTTAGCTCAGCCCCGGAGGTCGGCCGAGTTACCGGACGACCTCGGGGGTCGGCCGGACCTCGGCCCGGCCCAGGAGGTCGGCCGAGTATCGGCTCGACCTCGGAGGTCGGCCGTGTCTCGGCTCGACCTCCGAGGTCGGCCGTGTCAGGTCGGCCGAGTTACCGGACGACCTCGGGGGTCGGCCGGACCTCGGCTCGGCCCAGGAGGTCGGCCGGGTGACGGGGCGACCTCCGAGGTCGGCCGTGTCTCGGCTCGACCTCCGAGGTCGGCCGTGTGGCCGGCTCGACCTCCGAGGTCGGCCGTGTGGCCGGCTCGACCTCCGAGGTCGGCCGTGTGGCCGGCGCGACCTCTGAGGTCGGCCGTGTGGCCGGCTCGACCTCCGAGGTCGGCCGTGTCTCGGCTCGACCTCCGAGGTCGGCCGTGTCTCGGCTCGACCTCCGAGGTCGGCCGTGTGGCCGGTGGGCCAGGGCCCACGGCCGACCTCCGAGTGGGACGGGGCTCGGCCGGCCGAGCCGTGGCGCGGTGACCCGCCAAGTGTCGCCGCACCGTTACCGTTAATATTGAAAATATATATATAATAGCGACGGAAGGTAAGGGAGAGCGGGAGTGAAGGATGTACCGTACTCGCGGCAGAATTGGAGGATGTCGCCGAAATATTGGTGGATGTTGCCGGAAAATTGGAGGAGGTCGCCGGAATTTTGGAGAGTGGGGGGAGTGAAGAGTGTAGGATGAAGAGGGAGAGGGGGGTTTATATAGAGGGAGAGGGGAAAGGAGGGGGTGTTAACCAAAGTTTGAATTTGGGGATGTATGGGGAAGAGGGAAAGTTGATGGTGATGGGTGGAAGATTTTTCAGGTCTCACTTATATGGGGAATTTTTTGTCGTTAATAGAGCAGTCCTGCTTTTTCAGGTCTCACTTATGGTCCCAGCTCAGTATCCGTGAGTAAAGAAGAGGTATTAGTTCATAAGAGATCAGTTTCCTTTAATGAGCGAGTCATTGCCATACCTGATGTCCATCCAAGTAGTGATTTGAGCTGTACACATTTATGGTTACAGAGCAGAGTTCCATTAGGGTAAGCATTGTCTACTCTTTTTTTCTTTTCTTTTTTTTTTTCTTTTTTTTTTTAAAAAAAATCTTTTTTCCATACTAAATTTTGTACACATCAGATGTGTTCCTTCTCAATCGACAGCGACTGACAAACTTGAGGTACTTCCCCTTAAGGATGGCATAATCACACTTGATTCCTTGCAAATCGAGATAACAGAGAAAGGTATGCATTAACTTATAAATTGTGGTGTTTTACATTCACATTACCTCACACTATCATTTATAGGACACTTGTAAATGTGCTTATTAGAACAATTCCCTACTGCCTCATTTGGTGTTTCCATGTGGTTATCAAGTTTCATGGAAATGCCTGTTACTTGCCATGACTGTGATCTGAGCTCAAGGGCGTAAAGTGGAACTTAAACTGAAACTTTATGTTGTTAATAGAGCGGTTCTGCTATTTCAGGTCTCACTTATATACCCCAGCATTCTCTGAAGATCTATGCAACTTCAAGCATTTCCACAGGGATGCGATGATTTTTCAAATTTTTTACATCAGTCTCACATAGACAGCGAAAGATTCAGAAATATAATCTCTTACGAACTCTCTGCATTTACCAATGATGGTTTCGTATGCTAGAGTGGGCAGATTTTATTAGAAGAGATGAATCAGAATAGCCAAGTCAGCAAAGTCAGTTAAACATCACAGTTAGTTTGTTTAGTTTGTTCTTCCTCTGTTAACAGACTACTAGCTTCATGTATATAGCTTCTTCCTCTTCTCTTTGTAAGGTTGATAGAATATACAGATACAAGACACTTTTATTTATCATTGTTTAGAATTTTCATAAATTAGTAAAATGTGCTCGTTCTCTAACAACTCAGTTATAGAAATGAATTGGTATCCTTATTCATTTGTATGGAAGATATATTTTTTTGTCCAGATATATAACAATTTTTTCATTTAAAAAAAACTTAATATCACCGGTTATATTTACACATTATTGAAACCTCTTTGTAGACGACATTGGTAGTGACAACACAATCCTATTCATCTTCGTCTAGAGCTAACACCTTCAATCCATCAGGACGGATAACTTGGATTAAAATATATAATGGTAGAATATTACTCGATTAGTTATCCTTTTATATTTTCAATCAATTAGTGATATCGGATTCATTTTCAGCCAATTATTCTTTTTTATTTTCAGTCAATTAATCAATTAGAATATCAAATGTAGTGATATTTTTACCTAATTTTTGTTCTATTTTTAATTGATGATGTAGAATTGTAGATATTATTATTAAAATATTTTCGTTTCATTTTTAATTCACCTTTACTATTTTTTAAAATATGCATTTACTATTGATAATGTAGAATATTATTATTGAAATATTTTTCTCCAATTTTTAATTTTCATTCCATTTTTAATTAAAATGCAATGATCTGGTCATTTTTTTAGTCAATTATGGAGCATTTTTTTATTTGCAGTCAATTATTAATATTCATTTCCTTTTAAAATTTTCAGTCAATTAGTAATATTAGATTTATTTTCAGTCAATTATTTTTTTTTATTTTCCGTCAATTAGAATATAGATGTATTAATATTTTTACCTAATTTCCATTACATTTAAATTTGATGATGTAGAATATTATTAATGAAATATTTTCGTTCCATTTTTAATTTACATTTACTATTTTTAAAAATATGCATTTACTCCTTCATGATGTGAAATATTATTATTGAAATATTTTATTTCTATTTTTAATATTCATTTACTTCTAAACAAAAAGGAAACAAAAAAAAAAAAAAAAAAAAAACTTTGGACTTCTCACTCCTTGCCCACATTGATGGCAAGCAATTATGTTTGTAAACATTTTCAAGAGCTCCTTTTTCCAAACATTTTCAATGTGAGATTAAAATGATCCCACATCATTCTTCTTATTTTTTTCTAATTTTAATTTTATTTTGTATATCGTTTTGTTTGGATGATTATGATGATGATGATGATGATGATTATTATTATTATTATTATTATTATTATTATTATTATTATTATTATTATTATTATTATTATTATTATTATTATTATTATTGACAATTTTAAAAAATTGAGATTGAAAAATTCACCAAAATTTTAACAAATTCGTCATTTTAACAATTTATCTTTAATCAAAACACCAAAAATATTATTTAATAACTTAATAATTTGCTCTAAACTGCTAGAAACTAAAACAATACATACATTTTGGGTTAATCTTTCCCAACCCACTAATAATTAATAAATAATAAATAATGAATAAATAAATAAAAACTAAAATAAGAAGACAAATCTAAGGTTTCTTAAATAAGAACCTTTTAACTTCTCAATACTTGCGACATTGATGGACAAACAATTATGTTTGTACCTCTTATATAGAGGAGTTCAAGAGCTTATCTTTTCAAACATTTTCAATGTGGGATCAAAATAATCTCATATCATTTACAAAGGGACGGGCTCCCCTTTGTCTTTTTTTTTTTTTTTTTTTTTTTTGGTTAATTTTAATTTTATTTGGATTATTATTATTATTATTATTATTATTATTATTATTATTATTATTATTGTTGTTGTTGTTGTTGTTGTTGTTGTTGTTGTTGTTGTTGTTGTTGTTGTTGTTGTCACTACTGGAAATTCTGAAATTTCCGACCACTTGAAAGTGATCATAAATCAAGTTGAAAATCTTGTTCCGACCACTTTTGGTATCCGGAAAAACCTTTGTTGCTATTTCCGACCACTTTTTGGTATCAACTTAATTTAAGATCATTTTTAGGTGGTCGGAAATTTCAGAATTTTCAGTAGTGTGTCGTCGTCGTCGTCGTGTTGTTGTAATTTGATTATTTGGCAAATTCGACAAAATTTTAACAAATTCAAATGTTTAACATTTTATATTTAATCAAAACACCAAACATATTATTTAATAACTTAGCAATTTGCTCCAAACTGCTAAAAACTAAACCAATACATCTACATTTTGGGTTAATCTTTCCCAAACCCCCTAATAAATTTTATAAAAGAAAACTAAAATAAGAAGCCACTAAGATAAGGTTTATTAAATAAGAGTCTTTTGACTCGTTGGGCTTCAATAGGTGAACATATATTATATGTAACAGGTCAATCGAATAGTTATGATGTGGAACCGTGTCCACCTTGCAAGGTGGACATAATTCTATGTTAATAATTACTGAATTATATGTTCATAATTATAAAGCTATATATTCATAATCTTTGAACTTTATATTCATAATTATTGAACTTTATATTCACAATTACTAAACTATATGTTCATAATTACTTAATTATATGTTCATAATTATAAAGTTATATATTCATAATTTTTGAACTTCATATTCACAATTATTGAATCTCTATATTCATAATTACATAACTATATGTTCATAATTATAGAACTATATATTCATAATTATGAACAATTTTGGAACCGTGTCTACCATGCAAGGTGGACATAGTTTCACATCATAATTTGGCGGGTCAATAGTACTCAAAAATAAAACATGAGCAGTTGGACTTCTCAATACTTGCCCACATTGATGGTCAAACAATTATGTTTGTCAGAGGAGCTCAAGAAATCCTCTTTCCAAACATTTTCAATGTGGGATCAAAATGATCTAGCATTATTTGCAAATGGAGCCCGTGGATCCCTTTTGTCTTATTCTTATTATTTTTAATTTTAAATTTAATTTTATTTTGTATATTGTTTTGTTTGGATTATTATTATTATTATTATTATTATTATTATTATTATTATTATTATTATTATTATTATTATTATTATTATTATTATTATTATTATTATTTGTAATTTGATTATTGATAAATTCACAAAAATTATAATAAATTCGTCATTTTAACATTTTAACTTTAATCAAAACATCAAAATATCAAAATCAAAATATATTATATAATAACTCAATAATTTGCTCCAAACAGCTAAAAACTAATACAACACATACATTTTGGGTTAATCTTCCACAACCCCTACTAATAATAAATAAATAAAAACTAAAATAAGAAGACAAAGTTAAAGCTTCTTAAATAAGAACCTTTTGACTTCTCAATACTTGACCACATTGATGGGCAAGCAATTATGTTTATAAGAGTCTCATTGCTCCTCTTATATAGATGAGCTCTCTCTTTTCAAACATTTTAAATGTGGGATCAAAATGATCCCACATCATTTACAAAGGGTGCCGGTGGCTCGCCTTTGTCTTTTTTTTTTTTTGGTTAATTTTAATTTTATTTTGTATATAGTTTTTTTTTTTGGATTATTATTATTATTGTTGTTGTTGTTGTTGTTGTAATCTGATTATTTGGTAAATTCGTCAAAATTTTAATAAATTCGTCTGTTTAACATTTTATATTTAATCAAAACACCAAAAATATTATTTAATAACTTAGCAATTTGCTCCAAACTGCTAAAAACTAAAACAACTCATATACATTTTGGGTTAATCTTTCTCAAACCCCCTAATAAATTTAAAAAAAAAATTTTTTAAAAAAAAACTAAAATAAGAAGCCATTAAGATAAGGTTTCTTAAATAAGAGCCTTTTGACACGTTGGGTTTCAATAGGTTGAGAAAGTTTACATGTTACAGGGTCAATCGAATAGTTATGTTGTGGAACCGTGTCCACCTTGCAAAGTGGACACAGTTCTATGTTTATAATTACTAAACTATATGTTCATTATTATAAAGCTATATATTCATAATTTTTGAACTTCATATTCATAAGTACGTATTGAACTCTATATTTATAATTACAGAACTCTAAATTCATAGTTACTGAACTATATGTTCATAATTATAAAGATATATATGCATAATTTTTAACTTCATATTCACAATTATTGAATCTCTATATTCATGATTACATAACTATATGTTCATAATTATGTTCACAACACTATGTTCATAATTATAGAACTATATGTTCATAACTTTTTGAATTATATATTACTCCCTCTGTCCCATTTTATGTGTCTTACTTTCCTTTTTAGTTTGTCCCAAAATGTTGTCCACTTTCCAAAATTGAACATCACCATCATTCTACTTTTTTCAAATTACCCTTCTAGCTTTTGCTTTCTTTATTGTTTTTATTTCCAAAAGTGAAAAAGTGAGGGGTATAATTGGAAAGTGCATAACATTTACTTTAATTCATTAAAAAGCGTGCAAAAAGTAAATGAGACATCCAATTCGGGACGGAGGGAGTAATAATTATGAACAATTTTTGAACTGTGTCTACATTGCAAGGTGGACACATATCCACAGCATAATTTGTCAGGTTAATAGTACTAAAATAAAAAAAATAAAAAAATAAAAAAAAAAGTCTTTGGACTTTTCAATACTTGCCCATATTAATGGGCAAGCAATTATATGTTTGTAAATGCCCCTCTTATATAGAGGAGTTTAAGAGCTCATCTTTCCAAACATTTTCAATGTGGAATCAAAATGATCCCACATCATTTACAAAGGGAAGCCACCTTTGTCTTCTTCCTTTTTTTTTTTTTTAATTTTAAATTTATTTTGTATATAGTTTTGTTTGGATTATTAAATTTGTTGTTATTGTTATTATTATTATTAT